GGAGGGGCAGAGACCGAGGGAGAGGGAGAATCCCAAGTGAGCTGTGGGTGGTCAGCGCAGGGCCCGATGCGGGGCTCAAACCCACGAACCATGAGATCATGACTTGACCCAAGATCAAGAGTCAGATGCTTAAGTAAGCCACCCAGGTGCCCCAAATCTCTGTACTTTCTGATCAATTTGGCTGTGAACCTAAAACTGCTCTAAACATTACATCTATCTTTGAAAATGAAAAGAATTGAAAGAAATAACAAGAAATAATGTATTTGCCCCTTGGCCTAGGAACCCTACTTCTAGGGATTTATCCTAATATAAGAACATTCCCTACCGCTTTTTAAAAAAGTTTAAAAACCAAGAAACAGACTCTTTACCCTAGAGAACAAAATGATGGTCCCCAGAGGGCAGGAGTGGGAGCCCGGGTGAGACTGGTGATGGGGGTTAAGGAGTACACTTGCGGTGATGAGGGCTATGTGGTTAAAATAAAAACTTAAAAAAGTAAGTTTTAAAAAGAAAGAAGAACTGAAATACTACAAACATCCACTTATGGAATGAGGAAGTCACAGGAATTAAAGGGACAGTGTGAGGAAGACGGAGGTACTCTAAGGCCGCCGCGCAGGGACAGGTGGCGGCCACACTTGTGGTGACCACAGCATAGCATACGGGGCTGTCGAATCGCCATGTTGTCCACCTGAAAACTAATAGAACACTGTGTATCGACTATACTTCAGTTTTTTAAGAAGACCAAATCGTAGGATATCCGTACTTGTTATTTAAACACAAGGCAATTGTAAATATACTGAGATAGAACAGAGTCCCAGATACACTGTCAAGAACAAACTGCTGAACAGCTCATACTATGTGATAAAAAAAAAAAATCTATGTATCTATTAATATGCATAAACATATTAGGAAAAGCATATATGTTACACAGTGACTATGAGAGGGGTAAAGTGTCTACATTTTACATTCTGTATTGTGTGAAATTTTTACAACAGCATTTATTTTAATAACCAAAATAATTTTGTAAACTTGCAGTAACCCTAAGAGGCAGAGCTCTATCTCAACAGCCACTTGAGAAGAAATAAAACACGAGAAAAACCAGGGATCTACAAACATCCACACACGAGGGACACCTGCTATATATCTACATGCATTCCAAACCTCCTATCTACACAGAGTCACATTCAATGTTGGGACAACCAAGGCTCTGACATCCTTTGAAAATAAAGAAGAAAGGAAAGTAGAAAAGACTTCTACTTTGCCAATATCCTGTGGGGAAGGGAGTTCCGTGGGAAATGATAGGTGTGCAAAGGGAAAAAAATCATGAATACCTGTCTGCAATCACACTACAATCACATTTTAAGACCTATGATTAGATGACTAGCCAAGAACGAGATGATTCCCAAAGCTCCACAAATGGGAGCCTACTAAGAGGAACCTAACTCACATCAAGGTGCCATGTCATGTTCACATCCTCACCCTTGAGCAGTTAGGCAAGTTCCCATTAACCCACACTCCATTCCTAGAGCTGTATCTTAAGAAAATACTAGAAACACAACAGCGAAAAACGAAAGAGGACAAAGCTCAAGGATTCAATTTTTCACTACAGCTTTCTTTTACAACAGCCAACAAATCCCAAACGGCATACACTTTCAGTAGAAGGTTAGATACGCTTCCAGATCCATGTGTTGACAGAACAGCACATGGTTATTTAACAGTGCAGGAAATGCTCGGGTCAATATTCAGGAAAACAACACATACAGACACATACACACCCACATGTGGAGAAACACCATCATCTCCCTTATATGACAGAAGAGGAAACAGAGAGGACCGGAAAAAATCCCAAAGCGTTTAACAACACTTATCTCTGGGTAATGGAATAATGTGTGAACAGTTCCTTCTTTATAAGTTTCTGTGTCTTCTGAACTTTCAACAATACGTGAATGTTACGTGTATACTGGTTTTAAAAGTCTAACGTTTTCAAGGCTTACATTAAAACGGCAAATTTTAGGCAATACTGTTGTTTAAAAATATCTACTAACTTCGGAGCACCTGGGTGGCTCAGTCGGTTATGCATCCAACTTTGGCTCAGGTCAAGATCTCATGGTTTGTGAGTTTGAGCCCTGCATCGGGCTCTGTGCTGACAGCTTAGAGCTTGGAGCCTGCTTTGCATTCTGTGTCTCCCTCTCTCTCTGCCCCTTTCCCACCCACATTTTGTCTCTGTCTGTCTCTCTCTCAAAAGTAAATAAGCATTAAAAAATTTAAAAACAAGAATAAAAATCTACTAACTCTTCATAATCTGATCTTTTCTTCTAGGTCTAGGAAAAATGAGAGAATATAAAAATTAAATCCTGGCTCCACAGATGTCAACAGGTAATACAAGAGTAAAAGGCACTGATCAATGGTGAACTGTGGTAACAAAAGGCCAGTGGCCAAAACACAGAACACCGAGACTGAACGAGGTCTCCCTGAGAGATGCACTCAGAGCATGAACCACATTCATGACCCCAGCAGACCTGGAGAATGCCTGACCTCTTACTGTGTTAGTTTTACAAACCCCTCTGACTTGTGGAATGCCAACTGTAAAATGGGGATAAAAAGTTCCTCTTGAGTTACTGTACGGCATGAATGCATTAAGAGCAGTGCTTGGCACAGAGACTCAACAAATGTTCGTGATTCTGGATACTGAGTTCTGGCACCGCCATCTCAGATGGACGCTGTGACCAGCTGGAACATCCAGGAGTGCAAGAGATGGAGACACCCAAAAATCCCACCATCTAGGAAAAGCCTGAAGCAGCGAGGCAGGCTTAACTTGGACTAGGACCATAAAGGAGGTGGGATGGCCGGAACATCTAAAAGACTCATCTGGAAGCAGACTTCTTTAGCTTCCAGAAAGCAAAGCTTTACAAAATTACAGGGATGCAGATTTTCAGCTTTCTGTTAAAAAGAACATGTTCAAAAATGGAACTAACTTTTTAAGTTAATGCAAGGGTTCAAAGGGGAAATAAACAAACAGGAAATACTTAAAATGTCTTCCCTAGCACAGCAAAGACATCAGAAATGTCAATATACTTCCTTCTGCTATTCTGTTCTTCATTATAAACTCTGCTATTCTGCTCTTCATTATAAACTCATTAAGCAGCAGCCTGATAGAGGCAAAATTAAGATACCCTTAAAATCAGATCAGACTGAGATTATTTTATTACTACTAAATTCACCATTAAGAGTACTTGAACTTCCCATGTTCCATGGAGGGTTAAAAAAGAGCGGGGGGGGTCCTTCTTGGTCAAAATTAAACATGTTTATTTACCATATGAGCTCTTTGCACCCCAAATATGCTGACACATATACTTAATACACAAGAAGAGAATATTTAATATGTATCAAATCTCACGCTTAGTTAGCAGTGGAAACCTGTCAACACTAAAAAACACACTCTGGGAAATCCTGATCAAAGCCTAAGAATTTGAGTCTTTACTCACAATTTTAACAGTTTCCTGATAACATTTAGCACTGGTGACTTTCCAAGCCCAACCCTATTTTAGAGCCCAGATTCTTAACTGATTCTTGTCAAAGACCCCTTTGAAAATTCAATGTCCGTTTTCTCCAGAAAAATAAACAGATTAACAAAAAATTCTGCATGTGATTTCCAAGTTTACAAATCCCCATAAATTCCACCTATGAACTCCCATTGAACAATCTCCCAAAAGGGGATTCATTTTTCTTTACTCTTAACTTATGAAGAAAATTAAAACTTTGGGGGCACCTGGGTAGCTCAGTCAGTTGAGCGTCCAACTTCGACTCAGGTCATGATGTCACAGTTCGGTTCATGACTTTAAGCCCCACGTCAGGCTTTCTGCTGTCAGCACAGAGCCCGCTTCAGATCCTCTGTCCCCGTCTCCCCTCTGCCTCTCCCCAGCTCACACTCTCCCTTGCTCTCTCAAAAACAAATAAACATTAAAAAAAATATATATATATATTTTTTTTTTTAAAGAAAAGAAAAACTCTGAAACTGCCAAAGACTTATGGTAATGTATCTGAAACAAATTTGGTTTTGCTGGTATCGTTTGAGCAGAGGTAACAGAAAAGCTGAAAAAGCAAACTTTGAATATACAACTAATAGTACTAATAGCTGTAGGACTCTACCCCCCCCCCAATAAAATACAAAGCAGCTCAGTGTATTCATCCCAATACAACTTTAAACTCATAAAATAAGAGAGTCAATTCACAAGTTCTTCCAGGTAAGCTGGAATCCTGCAGTATAAAGCCCATTTCCGATAACCTATGTTTTGCCCTTTGTTAACCTCCAATCAGAAATGTATGGGTCTGTAAATTCCCAGATGAGGGAAAGTTAGACTTTCCTTTCCATTCTGAGCCTTTCCTCCTAGTTACTCCAGGATTAGCTTGTACAGATTTTGGGAAAATGAAACCACTGGTTAAGAATTTTAAGCCCTGGGGCGCCTGGGTGGCTCAGTCTGTTAAGCGTCCAACTCCTAATTTCTTGATTTTGACTCAGGTCATGATCTCCCAGTTCATGAGATTGAGCCCCACATCGGGCTCTGTGCTGACATGTGGAGCCTGCTTGGGATTCTCTCTCACCATTTCTCTCTCTCTCAATCGCCTCTCCCCTTTTTGCACTCTCTTTCTCTCGCTCTCTCAAAATAAATAAACATTAAGGGGAAAAAAAAGAAGTTTTAAGTCCTGATGACAGGCCACAGCAAAGAAATGCACACTTCCAGGGACCCCTGGGTGGCTCAGTCTCAACTGAGCATCCGACTTCAGCTCAGGTCATGATTTCACGGTTCCATGAGCTTGGGCCCCACAGCGGACTCACTGGGGTTGGTGCAAAGCCCGCTTCGGATCCTCTGTTGCACTTTCTCTGCATCTTCCCGGCTTGTGCTTTCTCAAAAATAAACATTTAAAAACAACAACAACAACAAAAAACAGAAAAACAACCTTGCATTAAAGGAGGTGAAAAATAAAAGTGTTCTAAAACTTACGTTTTGCTTCTGATAGATTCTGATTAGGTGACCAGACCAGCATGCCAAGATTGTCTCGTTCTTGACTGCGTCTTGCTAGTTTGGCTTGGTGGAAATAAAAAAGAAAATTCTTATTGTAATTTAAAAGACACAACAAGCAAGGATTAACAGCAGCACCATTCTGATCTTTAGTCCTCAGAGCATCATGGCATCACCCACCCTTTCTGAAAGCTGCCCCAAGGGAGCCCGCACCCCTACCGTCGCTACCGTCGCTACCGTCGCAGGGTGAGGCTGGCTCTGAGGTCTGCCCAAACAGATCGACTTCTGAGTCTTTTACTGATTTAACAAACAGCTTTACTATTCTCATCTGCTGGGTGAGGAAACTCAACAAGTCATTTCGTAGAAGGAGGCAGGGTCAGGACTGAATGGCTCCCGCCCAGGGGTCAGAGCACTGCCTCCTAGGACGCTCTGTTGTCAGACACGGGGCATCCGTGTTCTTCGCGTGAGCTGGGAGTGCCCTTATCCTTCTCTGCCAGAGTAACTTTTAGTGACTTGACAACAGGAATCCAAAGATTCTTTTAACTACTTTATTAAAAAATAAGCATTAAAAATACTTAATCTGAAAGCAAACTTAAGTGCATTCAAGTTCTAAAAAATCTGTGATACAAAAGAGAAGGCCAAAGGTTTAGAAGTGCCAGGTGCTGAGCTGACATGTGTAACTGGATTCACCAGAGGCAACAGTCATGCACTCACTACAACAGGGACATTTTAAACGTTATCTTCAAAGGTACAGAGGACTCAAGACACAAGAGGCTCACTAATCTCACTAACCTTTGCATGGGGTAGGCCCAAACTTGTTCATTCTAAAGGTATCATTCTTACCTTTCTGTTTGTTTGCTTAAATAAATTCCTCTAAGGATGTGAAAGTTATGGACTCCACTCTCCAGAAAAAAAATCTCGATGAAATATAAGCACACACACATATACAGACACCAATACAAACACACTTTTAGAAAATTCATAAAGCCAGGTTTAAGAATTCTTGTTTTAATGAGACTGCCAGATATCTAATCTTTTACTTAATGTTATCTATCAATATGTTCCAGCTTTTGTAAGAAATAATTTCTGGGGCGCCTGGCTGGCTCAGTTGGTTAAGCATCCGACTAAGGCTCAGGTCATGATCTCACGATGCATGGATTCGAGCCCCGCATCGGGCTCTGTGCTGACAGCTTGCTCAGAGCCTGGAGCCTGCTTCAGATTCTGTATCTCCTTCTCTCTCTAGCCCTCCCCTGCTCATGCTGTCTCTCTCTCAGAAATAAATTTTAAAAATTTAAAAAAATTTAAAAATTATGAAGAAATAATTTCTATACTTTTGGTAAAACTTATGGGGCAGTGACTTCAAAGAAAAATGATGGAGTCATGGTGGGAAGGAAAGAACCAAGGCGTGGATGCTATGAATCAGACAAGGTGGGATCAGGGTTTAAAGGATGGAGATAGGAAGAGAAGGGGAAAAAAGAAAGATGCTCCCATTTACCCCTGAGTACACCTTTTTATACATAGCTCAGTGTTACCGCTACACATAATCTGAAAAGAAAATGAAATCAACAAAGATGAGGAACCCACATGGAATACAGTCTTGCTATATTTCAAATAAAAATCAAAAGTCAAAACATAAATAAAAGGAATCCACATTGGAAAGGCAGAATTAACCAGTCTTATTCACAGATGACCTGATCATCTGGGCAGAAAATCTACAGAATCTACAAAAAGTTACTAAAATGAGTTTTAGCAAAGTTGTAGGAAAGAGATCAATAGTTTTTTTTAAAAAGTAAAAATCAAAATTGTTAATAAACATCACAATTGAAAAATACCTCTTTCAGGGGTGCCTGGATGGCTCAATCAGTTAAGCGACTGACTCTTGATTTCGGCTCAGGTCCGGATCTCATGGTTCCTGAGATCAAGCCCTGCCTTGGGCTCTGCGCTGAGTGTGGAACCTGCTTGGTTTCCCTGCCCCTCTCCCACTCACTCTCTCCCCAAAATAAATAACCTTTAAAAAAAAAAAAAAAAAAAAAAAAGAGGGGCACCTGGGTGGCCCAGTCAGCTAAGTGTCTGACTTCCACTCAGGTCATGATCTCACAGTTTGTGAGTTCAAGAAAAACTGTCCAGCTCTGTGCTGACAGCTCGAGGCCTGGAGCCTGCTTTGGATTCTTGTCTCCCTCTCTCTCCGCCCCTTTCCCACTTGTGCTCTCTCTCTCCCTCTCAAAATATAAACAAACATTTAAAAAAAAGAAGAAGAAGAACTGGAAAATCTACCTGAATCAAACTAATTATAAAGATTCAGTAATTAAGACAGTGTGTGGTACTGGCACACAGGGATATAAATTAACATAACAGAGTCCCAAAAACAGAACCACATAAATAGGACCAACGGATTTTCCTTCCACAAATGTGCAAAGGCAGAATTCAATGGAGAAAATAGAATCTGATCAACAAATGATGCTGGAACAAATGGATTTTTTTTTTTTTTTAAACTTGGGCACCTGGGCGGCTCAGTTAAGCATCTGACTCTTGATTTTGCCTCAGGTCATGACCTCATGATTGGCGGGATCTGCGCCAGGCTCTGTGTTGAGTTCTGCATTGACAGCGCGGAGCCTCCTTGGGGTTCTCTCCCTCTCTCTCTCTTCCCCTCCCCTGTTCTTTCTCTCTCAAAATAAACAAATATTTGGGGGGGGGGGGAATCAAAATGGATACATACCTTACATACACAAATATACAAAAATTAACTCAAAACTGATGACAGAACTAAATGTGAAGCCAGAAGTTATAAAACTGCTAGAAGAAAACATGAAAAAATCTTTTCGAACTTAGGTTGAAAAAGATCTTAGATACAACACCAAAAGCACAATCCATAAAAGAAAAAAATTCATAAATTGGACTTTATCCAAACAACTTCCATTCTTCAAATGAGCCTTTTAAGGAAACAAAAAGCCAAGCCAAAGACTGAGAAAATAATTACAAATCAGGTATCTGATAAAGTCTTGTATCCAGAATCTATAAAGAACCCTCAGAACTCAACACAAAGAAAATAATCGTATTGTTTAAAAAAATGGGCAAAGATTTGAATAAACATGCCTCCAAAGAAGGTATAAGTAGAGCAAACAGCACAAGGAATGTAAAGCTACTCAAAATCATTAGTCACTAGAGAAAAACAAATTTTTTTTTGCTTTTCAAATTGTTATTTAATAAACATATAGGGCAATATTGGTTTCAGGAATAGAATTCACTGGCTTATCACTTCCATACAGCCCCCAGTGCTCATCATAACAAGCGCCCTCCTCAATACCCATCCCCCACCTAACCCATCCCCCACCTAACCCATCCCCCACCCACCTCTATTAATCCTCAGTTTGTTCTCTATCTTTAAGAGTCTCTTACGGCTTCTTTACCTCTCTCTTCTTTTCCCCTTCCCATATGTTCATCTGTTTTGTTTCTTAAAGCCCATATGAATGAAATCTGATGGTATTTGTCTTTCTCTGACTGATCTATTTCGCTTATTAGCATAATACAGTCTACTCCATCCACATCATTGCAAATGGCAAGACTTCATTATTTTTGATGGCTGAGTAATACACACACACACACACACACACACACACACACACCCCACCACCACTACCACCACCACCTCTTTTATCCATTCATCAGTGGATGGACATTTGGGCTTTTTCCATAATTTGTCTATTGCTGGCAATGGAGAAAAGCTAATTAAAACCATTTAAGATACCAAAACATACTTATAAAAAGCATAAAATTAAGAAGACTAACAATACAAAGGTTTGACAATGTGAAGAAACTAGAACTTTCATGTACTGCTGGTCAGAATGCAAAATGATGCCATCACTTGGGAGGGAGCGGGATCTGGCAATTTCCTAACTAAAATTGTGGTACATCTACTCAATGGAATAATTTTTCTCAGCAATTTTTCTTAAAAAAAAGAAAAAAAGCTATTTAAGCATACAAGATGAATCTCAATTATGCTGAGTGAAAGAGTTAAAGGGAGGGCTAGAAAGAAGTCTGTAGTGCTGGACAAGATTTGACGTGTAACAGTACAAACTCAAGTTTTCAATGTCCTTTGAGAGGGTGTTGATCCAACGACATCCAGCGATAATGAGCACATGAGCACATCTAGCTCCCAGATCTTGGTTCTAAACACCATTCTCCAATAAAAGAAACTAGGTCTCCTTGGAGAAATGGTTGATTCCAGGACTACGACAGGAAATGTACAAGAAGACCATAAAATATCTTGTTATGCCAGGAGGTAAAAAGTGTTCAAAGAATGATGGGATCTGCCTCCCCCTGGCCGAATCTGAAACCAATGTAAGCAAGAATGAATTAATGAATAAACAGATGGATGAATGAATGAAAGAAAGCAATAAAACAACAATCAGAGTCTGCTTGGGACTCTCTCATGCCCTCTCTCTATGCCTGTACTCTCTCTCTCAAAATAAATAAACATTTAAAAAAGTGAATCTCAACCTATTTCTCAAACCTTACAAGAATTTTATTCAAAGTGGATCTCATATTAAAAATAAAACCTAACACTATAAATTTTTTAGGAAAAAAAAAGAGAAAATCTTCATGAACCTGGTTCAGGAGAAGAGGTCTTAGATATGACACCAGAAGTATAATCTATAAAAGTAAAAAAAAAAAAAAAGGGTAAATTTAACTTAATCAAAACCTTGAAACTTTAGCTCTGCAAAAGAAACTGTAAGAGATAATGCAGACTGTGAGAAAACATTTACAAATCACATATCTGACAAAGGACTTGTACCCAAAATGTATAAAGAACTTCAAAAATACAGTGAGAAAATTACCCAGTTTTTTTTTTTTAAATGGGCAAGGGGCGCCTGGGTGGCTTAGTCGGTTAAGCGTCCGACTTTCGCTTAGGTCATGATCTCGCGGTTCGTGGGTTCGAGCCCCGTGTCGGGCTCTGCGCTGACTGCCAGCTCAGAGCCTGGAACCTGTTTCAGAGTCAGTGACTCTCTCTCTCTCTCTGACCCTCCCCTGCTCACGCTGTCTCTCTCTCTCCTAGAAATAAATAAAAA